GGCATCACACTGAACATGTAGCAAAAAGCTGGCGCTGTGCGTGGACCATGCCTCTGGTTTGACAGTATTATGGCGCAAAGTGAAGATTCAAAATAATAGGGACTCGAGATGAAAATGACTGTATATATCGACTAAATGGATTTTTTTTAATGGAGAGACCACGTGAAGATGGAAAGGCTGGACGGCGACTCCCATTTCCCCCACCCGACCCAACCCACTCTCCTCTCCCACCCCTGTCTTCCCGTTTCTCCTGATCCCCCTCCATTCCCTTCCTTTCTTAACCTCTGGTCTATTGTTTCTCCTCTGCTCGTCCCAGTGCAGTTGCTTCCTGGCATGACCTGAGATGGAGGCTGCGACTGTCAGAACCCGCGCATCCGTATGCCGTCTTTGGCATAAACCGTCCTTTGGTGAACGATGAGTATCTGCGGGAGAGATTAACACTTCTATGGAAGACTCCTTTGGGCAGCACTGTGCTTGGCAATACCACCAATCAGACGGAGGGTGCTTTTAATATCAAAAGTGACGATCTTAACTTCACGTGTCCGACCAGCAGTATGGAGGGTTCAATACCGTTAGAAGCTAGCAGTGTCAAACGGAAACGGTAAGTGACTTTACAGCCAATCACCCTTTCAGATTACCACCAGTTATATGTCTTGTACTCTCTCTCTCTCTCTCTCTCTCTCTCTCTCTCTCTCTCTCTCTCTCTCTCTCTCTCTCTCTCTCTCTGACGTGCTCTTTGTGCTGTTTCATTTCCATGCTCGTCTGTAGGTTTCTGCTGTTCACGTTCTCTCTATTACTATGCCGACTTATCGAAGCGTGTAGTGGTTCCTCGCTGCCGTGCTCATGGTTTCCTTGTTCTTTCCGTCTTTGCCCTCCATATCATCTTGCAGTTGTACCCTCGCCCTGGTCCTCCTCATCGAGTCCTCGTTATTCATGTCCCATCTTTGTCTTCATCCTCGCCCTGGTCCTCCTCGTTGCATCCTCGTTCATATCGTCGCCGTCCTCGTCCTCGCCCTCCTCCTCCGCGTTGAGTCCTTATTCATGTCCCATCTTTGTTTTCATTCTCACGCTGGTCCTCCTCGCTGTCCTCGTTCACATCGTCGTCTTCGTCCTTGTCCTCTTCCTCGTCCTCATCTACTCCTCGTCAAGTCCTCATTCATGTTCTCATCTTTGTTGTCATCCTTGCCCTGGTCCTCGTTGAGTCCTCATTCATGCCCTCATCTTCATCCTCGTCCTGACCCTGGTCCTCGTTGTTCTCATTCAAGTCCTCATCTTCATCCTCATCCCTGCCTTCATCCTCATCCTCGTCCTCGTCCTCGTCCTCGTCCTCGTCCTCGTCCTCGTCCTCGTCCTCGTCCTCGTCCTTGCCCCTTTCCACGTTCTTGTCCTCATCCTCGGACCTTGCCCCATCCCCCTCCACGTCCTCGTCCTCGTCCTTGTCCCACGGTCCTTGTCCCCTTCCTCGTCCCCTTCCTCGTCCCGTTGCCCGTCCCCGTGCCCATGCCCGTCCCCGTCCCCGTCCCCGTCCCCGTCCCCGTCCCCGTCCCCGTCCCC